CTACAAAACAAACAGCAGAATGGCTTTGCCCTGGAGAAATTGCAACCTCGGAGTCATCAAGATACTGTTCACTGCTCCAAGCCCTAGGCATCCAGCCTTCCTATTTTCCATCTTCTTCTTGGGAGCAGAAAGAAATGTAGCTGTGGATGCCAACATCCTGTACCTGCCATGACAATGATTAATCCCTCCTCACATTAATCCCTTTCTAATTTTCTACCACTCATTTCAAACAAAAGAACTTGCTGAATAGAAAAATAAAGTGTCACCAAGAAGCATCTTCAAACCAAAGGCAATCATAGTGTGGTGTGTTTATTTCTGCTTTACTCATTCCATTTGAATATGGATTTACTTTTGCTCCTTTGCAACTGTTTATGCATTTTAATCAAAGGATCCTATTTTTCCTTTTGACTATCCTCTATTCTTGTACAACCATGAGACACATAACAGGAAGATGAATACATCTCATCTTTATGTTCCAGTCTTACAAAAGAGCTGTAAAAATTGTTCAGGATAGTATCACTTACTCAAACTCCCATCCGGACAACACAATCTTACACTAACACTACTACATTAACACTTGCAGAGTGAGAGGAAACAGAGTCTGCTTGATGTGACTGGAGATCCACTGCTACTTGAAGATGTCATGATGTAAAAAGAAAAAAAGAAGCTGATCTTTTAAAAAGCTTAATAAAATGATTGCCATTTGCTTTAAATATGTGATTATTGAACATGAATGAAAATCAGACAGGACTTAATTCAGCAATCAAAACCAATTTTGGTTTGATTCGCACGTTACATGAACCTGCTTGTCCACTTCTAAGAGATTTCCTAATCTCTTTATACTCCAGGAATATGTGAATTTTCAGAAGTTTTCTAAACGCTCGATGTTATAAATTTAGTTCTAAAGGACTGACTAGGCCCTCCATTAGAGAGATACTGCAGTGATGTGAGGTACCAGTGACCGCAGTGCTTTGTYATGCTATGCAAGGTCCTGCAAGTTCTTTTTCATTGTATTAAAATGTAGCACTTAACATATAAAGAAAGTGATATTAAASTTGCACTTTCAAAAGAAAATAAGGTCTTTTTTTCTCTTTTTTTTTTTTACAGGCTAACTGTGGTGTAAACTTTACACTCCCCAGGACCACAAAAGGTTATGGTTTCATTTTCAATAGAATTTAATTTCACCTGGTTAAATCTTTACTGGAAAGACTTACTTCACATGTGAGACTACTACCAGTCTCTATGTGCAACCCTCAGAGAACACCAAATTCCAAGATAAACTTATGTTTTTGCTAAGTGAATCATAGGTGGTGGCAAACCACATTTTAAATAAACCTTGTGTTAGAACTTCAAAAATGTGAACCACAAGCAATAAATTAAATAAATACAGAGAGATGATCCCAAGAGTATTCCTGACACACCACAGGCTTCGAGTGCTTTTAAAGGGGTAGAAGGTTATCAAAAGAAAGACTGAGTAGCTTCTTGCAGTACTGCAATATACAGGCAATAGCTTTGTAATAGCTTTTTTTTCTTTTTTTTTTTAAATAAATGGCATGTACCTTGTTAGAAAATAAAAATCTTTAAGAGTATGCAAATGAGGGAATATAAGAAAAGCAGATTTATCAAAAACATGTAAAAACTATGCACTGATACTACACACAATTACATGTGCTACTAACTCTAATGAGAACAGCAACACCCTCAAGTCAAGCACAGGGCATGTGAGGACCATGACAATCATACTTCAAAATTCAAAGCGAAACTACTATCCTTCCTCGTAGAGCAGTTGACTGTAGCACAGATGACACAAAATATCCCTTTGCCACTTGTAATGCTTCCAAATATCTCCTTAGCATCTTGTCAAGAGTTTCAGATAGCTGTTTAGATTCCTAGACACACTTTGCAGCTCAGAGTAAATAGGGCCTTCATTCACCCACCTGCAAAATCTGAATACGATTTTTTACTTCCCACAGATGTTTTTGAGGACTTCTAAATACATGTTGAACAGCTGGAACTCTCCGAAAAAGCAGTATTCATATGCAAAGTAAGAAAGATTTAAACTATTGGTTTAAATCTTTGATCCTCAAATTCAGTGGGATTATGGTTACATTAAAGTATTTCAATAAAATTGAATATATTGCTGTTAGGGGGAAATATCTCTTTCCTTCAGTCACTGAAAGAAGGATCAGACTGGCAGCAATCAGATTTCAACTGCAATTTAAAAAAATAAAAAAGAACTGACACTAAAATTTACATCCACTGTAAATATGCAAAATGAGACAAGTATGCATGGAAGTTCTGACATGCAGAACACCTAAAAAGACCATCATAATGTTTGGGATAAACAGATGGTTCTTCATGGAAAAGGCAAGTAAATAATATCTGCTATATCCCAGTCAACTGAATTTAAAGTATTTCTTAGCATTTCCTTCTCATAAATATAAAAGCTTTTCTTGGTAACAATATTTTTGGTTGTGTCTCCTCTTATCCCCAGGGGAAGCCAGTATACTGGCTTCCATCATAAGGTTTTTGCTACGTGAGATGCTTTTCCCCAGACCATTTTTGTGACTGTACACACCTTAAATAATTTGATCAGATTATAGTACTACTCGCTTTTTGCAGCTCTTCAAAAGAAAAAAGAAAATCACAACCATTACGTGGCAGATGGACTGAATTACATTTGAAACATACAGAATAACATTAAGAAATTCTGAGTCTTAACCAAATAAAGTCTTCCTCCTAGGAAAAAGGGGTGTTGCTTTTGTCTCCAAAATCAATTTTTATAGAAAAGAAAACAGACAAAAAAAAAGTTTATGCTTGCAGGAATCAAATAATAGTTGTAAATCCTAGAAATGGAAGCTTTTTCAGACTTCCTTTTGTTTTACAGTGACACATCCTTTGCTTGAGTTCCACTGTACTCTGTGACTATAGTTTATACTAACTACTTAAACGGCCTGTATTCTGTAAATATCTGTAAATACTATGCTTAACTTATAAAATCTTTTGCTTCTGTGCCTTCAGTATATACTGTGTGCTCTGAAATATATTCTAATAATCTGAATAAAGTAATTATAGAAATAATTATTTATAAATTCAGGCTGACAGGCCTTACACTTTAAGCCTCCCTATTGCATGCATATTCTACATAGATAGTAGTGTTATTCATATGTGGCTCCCTTGGAGATTTGAGCAATGCATTAATAAGGATCATTTCGAAATATGAATTGGGATTACTCTTATTTTTTTCCCCAGTATAAAGTACAAATTATGAAAAGTAGAATTTGCATCTTAACTTGCTCTTCATATTCTTGGCTGACTTCATTCTCAGAGACACCTTCATTCTCAGAGACACCATCACACTACTGAMGGCAGTGACATGTCAAACACTGTGACCTGTTGTCCCTGCAAAACAGCTGTTTACAGTACCATTCACATATACTAGATGCAAGAAAAGAACAAGGATAAAGACAGACAGAATCAAAGTTCAATCTGTCAGCATTAGAATATTCCTTATTATGCTAAAGCCAAGAAAAGAATTAGTCCTCAGATTCAGGGATACTWGAGCTTTGACTCCAGCTATATTAGAAACATTTTGCAGAGTATGAAAAATATCTAATGTTTTCTCATTTTTTTGGAATTTGCCTCACTCACAGGAATCAAAACAAAAACATGAAGATAATCACAGGCCATGTCCTAAGCACTAGGTTCGGAGGTTCATACATTAAGAGTGGGTCAGCCCAAGCCCTGTCACATGCCAGTTTCCAGAGAAATATCTTCTTATTCCCATTCAATCATTTGTTTTTCTTGTACGAAATACTAAAGGCAATAAAATAATATTTCTGGCAAATATTGTCAGACTATCTCAAAATAAAACTRTCTTAACTACCTATAGTTGGCGAARGGATTGTTGATTATAGCATACTGGACTCCAAAAGAGCAGAGAAGCAGAATGCAACTTTGCTGTTGTAAAAGTTCCCAAAAATATTTATTTCTTTTACTAAAAGAATAAATAARACAGGATTTTACATTAAAAAAACATCATGATGCCATCAAGACACAATCTTCTATGTTAAAATAACATATTTTTCTTACCAAGCTAAACAGAAATCCTTCTAATCACAGGAAATGTCTTTGTAGTCTATTTGTGTCTACACTGTGTTAGATAGATTATTGTCTATTGAATATTACAGATAAAAGGAGGAAATTACTATTTTCAAAACTAATTTCGCACCAACTTTGAAAAAAAAGATCATTTTTTGAAGAAAATGTCACCCATTATATTGCAGCCCTGAGGTGATTCTGTTTATTATTGATAAAGGCTCATGTGAAAATATTCAAAAGCCAAGAGAGCAGAGAGAGTAATACATATGCAAAAGAGAGAGGGGAAAAAAAAAAGGCATTTATTAAGTGTTATAAATTCTATTTTTTTCCAATGATCATATTTCTAAGGAAATCTGTATGAAATCTAATCCAAGCTTGTTCTATTAAAAATCCTGGGAAATAATGGGAAATAGGGCATTTTTAGCTATTTCTTTTTCTGAACCTTTTTTTAATTTATTTACCCAAATATTCCGAAATTATAAAGACACTAATATTGTTACTTTCTGTGATAACAACTTAATTCATGCTCTGCATGTTAGGCTGATGCTTGCTACAAATGCATTCTTTTTTACCTGCAGCGGAACGTAGYGGTAAACTACAGATTATGGTTTTAGGCTTCAATCTTCTTGCTTAAACTAGTTCAAGTCACTAAAAGCAAAGACTTTTAATACCGATGCTAATACACCTCTAAAGTGTCAGTAACTCTTTGGGCCTGACTTTATGTAGTTATTCACACCTATTCAAAGTTGGTTAAAATTCCTATAAATCACTATTCATGCAATGCACCACAACAGAACTCAGAAATACTCTGAAACACTATGAAGCTGCACAAGCATACACWCACACAAAAAGAAACAAACACGTAATAACACACTCAAATATACTTGAAAATTACTTACTTTTCCTTTGCTGGGAGTTCTGGCTCAAAAGCTGCCACTTTAGCTCCTGTACCGTCAGGTTTYCCCATTCTTTGCCTTCGCTTTCGTGTCGGAGCGACATCAATCACGTCTGGACTACTCAGCACAGAGTCTCTTCGTTCWACTGCTGTCAAAAGGAAGACAACCAAAGTTGAAGAGGGCATGGAAGTATTATCGTATAATTCTGCAAATATTTTTGTTTATTCTTTTAAAATCTTCCTTTATATTGGAAGGCATACTTGATAGCTATTGCTGTCTTTCAGGAAAACAAACAGAAGGATGATAAAACATAAAATTCAAACGGACAAATTTAAGCAGCTGCTTCCCTTCGCCTTGTTCTGCAGTAAAATGAGAGTAAGGATTTTCAAATGTTTTGTGAAAGACCAGCATTTTCCTGAAGCTTTCTCGAATGCCTCCTTGTAGACCCTCTAGTAATTAGAGAAGCAATCTAGTCAAAATCATTTTGAGAAGCTTATTCGCTGTGGTCAGGTACAGGATTTTGTTATACAGAAGTTATCCTGCCATAAAGACGCTGAAATTAGCTGAAGTCCTAAAAGGAATATGTAGAAAATCACTAAGTCTTCGCAGCTTCAAGCTGGATGTTCAGCATGTGCTTCTGCTCACTCTTCTACTGCTCATGATAGATACAGCACGCTATATACAGATTCATTCACCTACAAATTCACTTCCATTATTACTGCATAAATTCACTCAGTAATTCATCAARAAAATTCATAAAAGATGCATTGTCTGCATTTAAAAACTATCTTCTGTCTGTTTTGACAGGTAGCTGATTATTTGAAGCTTGTATGTCAAGATGGTCAGATCCTCCTTAAATTAAAATCATCTCTTCCTTTCTATTGCTAAACATACAGAAGACATATAGATATTTTTATTCCAGCTATCAACCTTTGGTGATATGATTTTATTTGATGTGTCTACTAACAATAAAACATTTAATCACTTTGAATATTTAAAATAATGATATCCAGAATAGCACACATTTCAACCGAACCACATTAAATAATGATGTGGCAACTGAAGCTGATGCTATTATGATGATTTCCTTGGGTACTACTTTCTCAGCAATTTATGAAGATTTAATCTGTATCTAGATGAAAGGCAGTTTAATTTGAGATTCAGTCCTGGAGATTGTCACATGAAAATAAATAATAGGTCCTATTTGTTCATTCCTTTCAAACTGGTTATCCATCTTTACACAACAGAAACAGGAAGGAAATAGGCAAACTCCAAGTAATATCTTTWTTTTTTCTCCAAAAACAAATTATCCTTTTCAGTCACAAAGCTGTTAAATTAAGCATACAAACACAGGCTCTCAAAAGGTAATGACTGCTTGCAGTTAGGCATATACTTCATCAGAACCCTCCTAGCTTATAACTGCATGTCAGATTTACAAATCCTTGCAGGGTGACAACAGGTATTAGCTGACATGTTTCCAAGTCATAAGCTAATAAACAAGCTTTAAAGTCCAATACCAACACGGTACACTGCCTATTATAAATGTTAAAAAGGGTTAAGTTACAACCTAACCTTCCATACTAAACTTTAACTAGCTCTGTATGCTCTTCTAGTGCTAAATGTTGAAAACATCAACTATTGTTAATTAGYGTTTACTGATGACATATCCCAAGTACCATACCTAGCACCTATAGTAACACAATTCAGTGTGTGTGAATATATGTATTRCATACTTCACCACAATTTCCTAAAGGTAGCTCATTATTCATTAATACACAAAATAATTTATTGTCAAGAACCATACACACATCAACAAACATGAGTAATTTCATTACTGTGGTTCTTTTCTTTCCTTGCTGTCATTCTTTTCTCACAATGCCTGCTCTTGCCAAAAAGTGGATCCAAAGGTTAACTACATATACAATGATAACACAATGCTGCTGTTAAATAATGTCTCTGTGTTTCCACTCATGCAATATATAATGATTCTTCTCAGACAGGAGGTCATACTCAGCATTGCTTAATGTTTAGATGCAAATCCTGTTTGTCTTCCCCAACGGTCACGTTGATACTCATGTGAGAAAATGGAAAAGAAAGGTTAATCTTTGTAGCATATTGCATTTCTGACTAACCTCAGGCTGTGAAAGGGTCTTTGTTTTGTTCTAAACTTCTCCCACAAAAAAAAAACTAAACTTTTCTTCTCACAAAAACAAATTTTGGTCTTACATTCTGCTAAAGCAAGTAGAGTAAAAGATATTAACCTAAATGATTCAAAATAACCTCTGCAGTAAAACTGAGAATTTCAGTTGTGAGAAAATTTCTTTTAATGATATCAAGAAGACGGCAGCTTATTTAGATAGTACAAAATGTCATCTTATGCTAGATAGTAGTAGATTGTTTCATATATAATAGTAGGTCTCTACAGACATGGTGTGTTAGTACATCTAAGGCTAGATCTGTGAATGAAAAGATGATACGAATAGAAAAGAATTGAACTCAATCGATGGATTTACCTGCAGTTTTTGACTAAAAGCCAAACAAAACTTAAGCAAAAGAATATTCATTATTTGGCACAAAAGCACTTGAAATAATGGGAAATAGTCTTGAATATAAAACTAGATTTTCATTTTGAAAATTCCTTCCCTTCTCTCTAAATTAACATTTCAAGATGTTTCTTTACTTCTCACTAAAATGCTTATTACTTTTAAATTATTGACTACAGTATGAATGAWCATGTCTTTTGGAAAAATGGTAGCAATTTAGATAAGAGTGCTGTACAAAGAAAGTCAGTTAATAAATCCCATAAAACAACARGTATTCACCAAATACAGGGAAAGCGCTCCCAATATTCAGCATACCTTCTGCAGGTGAATAGCTGCAAGTAATAAGACTGATAAGACAGCAATAAAGGGAAATAAAGGTCAAGTGCTAAAAGAATATTTGTAATAAGATGATTAAAGATTTTAAACAGAAACTTTTGATCTCCGATTTCTTCTTTTGAAGAATGATGGTGATGGTGGATAGTCTAAAAGAAAATTTAATTAAGAGCAGGATACCCTAGAGAAGATTTTCAAGTGAAAATTTAAACATCTTCATTTGCTTTGGAAGAGTCAGAACGAACTCTACTTAAGGACCTGTCTGGCAGTAGCAGGTAGAGCAAGGTCCCACCAGGAATGTGCTTATGGTGACAGAGGGGACAACTGTGCCCATGTGCTGTCACGTAGGCCTATGTCCTGGCAATGAAAGCAAGCATAGCCRGGCAGGCTGTCTTCTTGACATCTTGTCACTCCCTGATACGAGCAACATGGGGTGACGAAAGTGGCATGACTGAGGCGGGAGGACAAAGCACACACAGGCACTCACTCGCCAGCCTTCACCCGGCATGCTAAGGTAGATGCTTAATAGAAGCTCTGTTGCTAAATTTATGTTCCCTAACAAAAATATCAGTGACATTTGACATTCAGAGAAAATTGCCAAGAATTGAAAGAACAAAGAAATGGAAATGAAAGACACCTCCTGACTTTCCCAGTTTACTGAAATAATTTTGTTTAAGAACTAGGTTTAAGTTGTTATTTTTACATTACTCAGAGACCAAGAGAAAAGAGCACATATCTGATATCAGAATGAGATCTTTATAAACACTCATAGATACATACACACACATATAACATACTGCTATAATATGCTTTAAGGCAGTTTAAACTTGTACTTTTCTGCTCTAAAGAAAAAGATGCTTTAATTAAAAACATCTAGAAAATCTCTTCCAAATCTAGACACACCTTGAACTAACAGAATGCAAAACATCAAAGCACAAGTTGTGCAGACATTGAGATCTCTAAAAATTACCTAACTTGTCTTAGAAGGACAGTCCAGTTGTATTTCGAAATATTATGTCTCAGACTTTAGTATTACTTTGAGTTCATGAGCNAAAAAAAAAGAAAAAAAAGTACATTTTTTTTCCGTGCATTATCACCTGTAATGAAAATTCAACAGCTACAACTTACATAGTTATTAACAACAGTGGTACCCCTATGTGAGAGAGGAGATCTTAGATCCTTCCTTGACTAAAGCTCTATTGCTATCTTAAACGGAAAAAAAAATACTAAAAGCTTAGCTTTGCTAGAAAATATATGTAGAACATAAAGCAAATAATTGGAGTTTGAACAATATGTTTTCYTATTATGATCTAACTTCATACACACAAAAAACACTCTGGACATCTATATTCCTAAAATCTGCAATGATGACAACAACAACAAAAAAATAGTATTTGATGATATCGTGTATACAGAAAATATAAAACAGTGACAACTCTCCTCTTCATCTTGTTACAATGTAGCACATTAAGATGCAAGTAAGATCATTCAAATTTGATAAATAAATGTTATAAATTCATATCACGTAAGGTATCTAGTAGAGCTGTCATATTTGCTTAGCTAAACTGTCCCACATAGGCACAGCTGGAAACCACATATTATAATAATATTTTGCACTCTGTGGCCAACTTTTAACATAGCACGGGTGAAGGCAGAATCTAGGCCCTGSTATTTACTGCTGAAACAACATCTTAGTAGAATTATAAGAAAATCAACATTATCCTACGGGTAATTAGCCTTAAACATCCCATATAATTTTGATTACTTGAAATACATTTGTCTCTCTTATTTCAAATGTTTTTTGTCTTTTTTTTCCTCTCAGTGTTTATACTGCTTATGGTGCTAAGTTACATAAGATTGGGAAGAGTGTTTTTGTGTGTGTGTGTGTGTGTGTGTGCGCGTGTGTGCACACACGTATATATATTCATATATTTCCACACAATCACCTATCAGTGGTCAAAAGTTTTTTCCCTTGCAAATACATGCATACAGTTCAGCTCTCATGAGATCAGTCCCCTGTTTATATAAGACACATATATATAGTATTTAGAAAAATAAATGTTTTATTTGTGTTTGGATTGGAACAGAACAGATGAAACTTACTTAGAATATGGAGAATTCATCCTTTAGTATTACAAAAATCTGTTTTAGTTTCTGTTCTAAAGGAAAATGTAGTTGATTCATTCTATTCAGAGCTGTAAAGTTCTTGTAAAGTGTTATGAAAAAGCRTTCACATTATTAGATATTAACAGGTCTACTAAAATTCATCTGA